TCGTTCGGCTACGTACATATTTTCTTCTTCCTTATTTCTTCAGTAAAAAAACAAAACAAAAACAAAACAATTGAACGGGTTTTTTCAAAAAGGGCTTAGCCGCCAAATTTTCAGAAATTCAGTTTTTTTCGGAATACTATTATTTAAGAGTGGGCGCATCTTACTATCGAGCGATTCCACCAACATTTCTCGCCGTACGTCTTTTTTTAACACCCGTACGCTTCAGTGGAAAAATGACGTAAGTTTCGAGCCACCTCTCCCAGCAACGGGTGCTTTCTTATCATAAGTGCCATGAGCAAGGGCTTTGACCAGGATTTTTAATTTTGTCATGGAACAAAATTATATACTATTTGACTATCAATACCGCCAAAAATGGCAACATTTAGCGGTTTTGTAGAAGAAGAGTGTATACCCACAACTTTAAGAAAAACGCTGAATATCTAGTTTGAATTTGATTGAACTGTGAAAAAAACGAGTGGGTAAACATGACAACGCTGGAATCGGCCTCTCGCGCTCCTGTTGATGTTCAGGCCTGAGCTAATCGAGCCCGGATTTAGTAATAAATAAACAGTGATTATCCCGCCCGGGTCCCGGGTGATAACTGGTCAGCGAAAGGTGCCGAGTGAACTCTTCACCTCTTTCCGAAGTCAAAGATACCCTGTTAGGTGAATCCAAGTAATCCAGGGACGAGATCAACCACTACGTTGTTATGTTACTCAGTCTGTTTCTTACTGTCTCCGAGTAGCTGTATTCATTGTAATCTACGGAATTACGTAAAAGTACGTGTAGCAGCTAGTAGTAGTACTGAGTGACAAGACACATTACTTTTGTGATGATTTACTGCAATTTTATGTCGGAAACTACACGGACAAAAAGCGGTAGGGGTTAAGTCCCAACTTGGACCCTGCATTTCTCGGAATTTTCTAATTTATTGTGGTAGTACCTCAATGAATTATCTTACTAACCCTGATGTTGCGGTACTACCAAAATTAATTGGAAGTGTCCATATTATCGAACAAATTGGGGTAGTACCACAATTTTAGGGGATAATCCCGAACACTTCTTTCAGTGATAGAAAAACGGATGTCGCTCACCGACTGAGTGTGCGATGCGCGGTGGAATCACCTCTAGTTTTTAACCTTTTGTCGGAGCAAAGCTTTTAGCACTATTTTCGAATCTTGGTTCGAACTTCGAAGCTCCAAAGATGAAAAACAATGCTAGGCCTCCTTTGGTCATCTGAGCCGCTCATTACTGAAGAAACGGGGATCCTAGACGAGTAGACGTCTCTTGCGCAGTCGGAGATAAGCTCGGCTCTGAGCCGTCTTGGCCGCGTTTCTGAAGCAAGTTCCGGTAAACGTAACTAATTGCACGCACACACTGAAAGACCCGGCCTCCGCACAGGCGAACGAGCCTCTAGGAGAGATTGGACGTGACTAAAACTGCAAATTTTCATGTTTATCTCGTCGCATTTTTAACTCCAAGAAATGCCTCTTGTAGAAAATTTAACGAAAAATCAATGGAGCCACTTTTACCTAAACCTCGACGTTTCGTATGAATAAAGATTTAAGCGTTTTAAGTCTCCGCATTATGTCCCACCGCTCCAATGGACTTGCTTTTCAGCTGGCTGATTGTTGATATTGATAGACAAAGCTATAGACAAAGAAGGCAAAGGGACAATGAAGCGATCCTATTGATTGAAAGGGGTGGTTGTAATAGATTTAGGAGGAAATTGGTAAACTAACTATACTGTCGTGCCAAGGAAGGACGTCGTATGAACCGTCAGACGTCATCAAATTTCCTTTGACTGACCAAGAATTTTCAGGAAAATTTGTAAATATTTTCATTTCAATTTTCCAGAGAATTTTGCTCATGATTTGATCTAGAATGTTTAAACACTTCAAGTAATATTATCAATAACTAACTCCCTTCAAAAATTATTATTTTTAAAGAGGAAATTTTGCACCATTCGAACAGTGGCGAGGAGCTAATGATCGATTATCGATATTTCTCCATTTAAAGCTATGGTGAAGAATCGATTATTAGGGTGTTCGCTGCGAACACCCTGTTTATCGATCCTTTTCTACAAGTTTGAATGACAGATCAATCGATGTGTCGCAAAGCACGCCTGCACGCCACTGCATTCGAATGCTCATTCGGCAATTTTCCTTAGCACGGCGGTATAGGGAAGAGCTTTCGTTGTTTGCCGTAGGTTAGTCATGCCAGTCACCTCCTTTGTTCACTACAACCACCCGTTTCAATCAGTAAGATCGTTCCATTTTTGCTTCGTCTTATTCTATGTCTATCAATATCAATAATGAGCCCTGTGTGCGGCGCGCGCGCGTAAGGGATTACGTCTGTGTGCGAGGGCGCGCGCGTCCGCGGTTGTAGGACTCTTCCGCGAGCTGCATCTCAAGAGCATTTTCATTGTTTTCGGTCGTCATC